TGTACCGGGTTCCTGGAACGGGCGTCTGTGCGAGCTACTCCAAGGTGTCATCCCAGCTGTAACTCGGCCTTGAGCGCGAAGTTGACCACCTCCGATAACGACCAAACGGAGCTCAGCTCTAACTTGTCCTGAATGCTGTCCTTTAACCCGCCTATGTAACGCGCCACCAACTGATTGGAGGTCTCATTTAAATCATTCCGGGCAGAGAGACGGTAGAACTCCTCCGTATACTCGCTGACGGACCGATTTCCTTGAGCACAATGTTGATACTTAAAATACAACATTTGCTCATAGTCGGTAGGGAGAAAATGCCCCCGCAGGAGCTGCTTCATTCGCATCCAGCTACACACGGGTCCACCCCCTTCCCTTCGGCGAGACTGAAGCAGTTGCGACCACCAAGCGCTCGCACCTCCCTTGAGACGGCAAGCAACATACTTGACCTGCTTTTCAGGCTCAATCTCCATATAATCGAAGAAGTTCTCCACGGATCGTTCCCAGTCAAGGTAATCTTCGATGTGCAGCCTTCCGTCGAAAAATGGGATGTCCAGCTTAACTCTGAACTCACCCTGATGCCGATCACACCCTGTGTATCGACGAGGTCTCCGCTCTCCCAAATCCGCGTCGGAATCAGAAAATCCCTCTGGATTAAAGCTAACACGATCTTCTTCCGAATCAGACAACTCCGGAAGCAATATAGGTCGTCGTCGACCTCTATTCGGGAATACCTTGTTCCCCTCAGCAGGCGTGACTGTTGGTGGTACCGGTCTCACCATCCGCGGCGGTATCTCTCCCGTCCCGACGAATGGTGGTTCACGGCATAAGACAGTAGTAAGACGCTCTACCGCCGCTGCGATATCATCTAGCCGCTTCTCAACTCCAGCATGCGCAGCCCAAAGTGCCTCCAGACTTCGGTTCTCCTCGCTCGTCGCACGCTTGCTGGACTCTGCCATCTCTCCAAGCCGCAGGCTCTGATACCAAAATGATGTGGTATACACCGGAAGAAGCATGTTCACAGGAACAATCAAAGAAGGCATAAAAACTATAAAGGCTTTAGCCTGAAAATGGATTTCATCAACTAAGGAGTTCATCTTCTCCGGGAGACGAAATACACAGTGAAATAGCTAAAAACAGGAACTGAGAAAAACGAAGGTGCTTGTACTAACTACCTAAATGCGAAAACCCCACTAGTGGAGCAGACTGGCTATAACGGTAAGCTAAAAAACAATAAATATAAAAAGCTATTTATAAGAAGCATTTGCAAAGGTAACGGTAATGTATCCAACGGCTGATCACAGCCGCATCATACTATTAACATTCTTTTGTTTCAAAACGGTTTACATATTATACATCATGACATATATTATACTGCTTTCATAATTTTTTTTTTATTCTTTCTATTAATCCTACAACAACCATTAGGTCCATTACAATTCCCTTCTTTCTGTGCTCAACTACTGAATCATGGCCTGGTTGAAAACTTAATTCAGTTTGTGCTTCTCGAAAATCAAACGACCTTACAAAAGCCAGGTTACGTTCTTTTCAACGCAAGTATTTGGACAAAGAATCAAAATAAGCACTTGGAAGTGATTGAACTATCTGAAGTTAAATTCCCGTGTTTGTTTGGAATGAATCGTTACGTTCCGCAAGCTATTCGTGACTCGGCTCAGTTAGAACTAGTTAACAACCTTTTAATTAACTAATCGAACAAGTTGGAACACTTCAGTAAATACTAAATCGATAAATGAATAAGCTTGAATAGCTTGGTGTTTCATTCGTTTATGATCATGAACAATATCATTCAAAGCTTGTAAACAAACTCATTAAGATATGAGGACCAGTGGGCAGCATGCTTAACACATGCAAGTCGGACGGGAAGTGGTGTTTCCAGTGGCGGACGGGTGAGTAACGCGTAAGAACCTGCCCTTGGGAGGGGAACAACAACTGGAAACGGTTGCTAATACCCCGTAGGCTGAGGAGCAAAAGGAGGAATCCGCCCGAGGAGGGGCTCGCGTCTGATTAGCTAGTTGGTGAGGCAATAGCTTACCAAGGCGATGATCAGTAGCTGGTCCGAGAAGATGATCAGCCACACTGGGACTGAGACACATACTAGTAATTTACCTTTGATATATAATGCTTCATCAAATGTAGGGGAAGAATTATCACCAATGAACACTAACCATCAACTAAAGCTTCAGGTTTATATTAGGAAAAAGTTTCTTATAAAAGATATAACTCAAAGACGTAGGAGTAGTACCACCAATTGAAACTAATCCTCAACCAAAACTTCAAGTTCATGTCACGAAAAAGTTCCTTACAAAGGATAGAACTTTAGATGTTTCTCCAGCAATCATCCAATCTTAAGTTGGTGATTGATGGTTCAAAACCTCAAAGTAAGATCTCTTTTACACCCATTTTATCTTCCAATCTTGTTTTGACCTTGACCTACTTACTGCTTTTAGAAACGAAAATCATCTTTGCATCAAACATCGCATTACTAAATACCTATCAGGCTATCATATGAAAGCCTATCTAAAACAAAAAAAAAAAGAAAACCTATCAAATATGTGATGTGTTTGTTCCAAGAACTACACAGAAAGAATTAGGTGATCCAGATAGGAATTCAAAAAGTTATGGAATAAATAAGTGCTCTTAAGAAAAATAAAACTTAAAGTTTTATTGATGTACCGATTGACAAGAATATAGTTGGATGCAAATTGATGTTTACTGTAAGGTACAAAGCCAATGGCAATGCAGAAATATACAAAGCAAGAATTGTATGAAAGGGTTTTACTCAAATACTCCCTCTCTAGTCTTATCAACAAGAAGAAAAAAGAAGAAAACCTATCAAATATGTGATGTTTTTGTTCCAAGAACTATACATAAAGAATTAGGTGATCCAGATAGGAATTCAAAAAGTTATGGAATAAATAAGTGCTCTTAAGAAAAATAAAACTTAAAGTTTTATTGATGTATCGATTGACAAGAATATAGTTGGATGCAAATTGATGTTTACTGTAAGGTACAAAGCCAATGGCAATGTAGAAATATACAAAGCAAGAATTGTATGAAAGGGTTTTACTCAAATACATGAAATATACTACTAAGAGACATTTGCTCATAAGGCAAAAATCAACTCCATTCGGATACTTCCATCTATTGCTAATAACTCCAACTAGCCACTTCATCAATTTGATGTTAAAAATGCATTTCCAAAGGAGATATAAAGAGGAAATCTATATGGATTTGTCACCATACCATGGAAGAGGTAAAATGTGCAAGCTAAAGAAAAATTTATATGGTTTAAAATTGTCCCCTAGAGCTTGGTTTGAACAATTTAGAGATTTGGTTAGGAAGCATGATTTTATACTAAGCCAAGCAGCCACACTTTGAACTTTAAGCATTCGGTTGAAGAAAAAATAATAATCTAAATCGTTTAAGTTAATGACATAATTATAACTATGGCTGACCATACTAGGATTATCAATTTAAAGGGGAAGCTTGAGGTCGAATATGAAATCAAGAACCTAGGAAGGCTAAAATATTTCATTGGAATGGAGTTTGCGAGATCGAAAGATGGAATTGTTATTAATCAATGCAAGTACATCCTTGATTTACATACAGGAACTGAAATGGCTGGGTGTAAGGTTGCTAAGACTCCGGCCGTACCAAATATAAAGTTGAAAGTAACAACTGAAAGAGAAGTGATAGATCATGAATACCATAAAAGATTAGTTGGAAGATTGATCTGCCTGGCTCTTACAAGTCAGATATAAAATTTGCTGCAAGTGCAGTGAACTAATTTATGTATTCACCAGGTCCCACATACTTTGAAGCAGCATTCAAAGTTCTAAAATACATTAAAAAAACACACCAATAAATGGATTGTTGTAAAAAATAGAGTCCATATCTAGATAGAAACAAACATAGATGCAGATTCGAAAGGTAACATAACTAACAGAAAATCCACCTCTGGGTACAACACATTTGTAGGAGAAAATTGAATTCTAATCCGATGCAGACAAATGTTGTGAAGTGATGTGGATAAAAAGACTAAAGCGTACTGTGATAACAAAAATGCAATTTTCTCAGCCCAAAATTCCATTTTACATAATAGATAAATGCTTCCTAAATTATAGTTTGAAGTTTTTGTAGGTTAGATATCCGTGGGCAACATCTTCATGCCAGATTGATGGGGAGTGCTGGAAAATATTCAATTGCATTAATTAATTCTAGATTTCCCTCCACCGCCAGATTCCACACCATCACTACTCACGACCATAAAACCGTCCAAACTTATGCATACCTTTTTTTTGTTCTTTACTTTTATTTATCTTGATTCGATAGATTTGTTTCTTATTTTAGCATTGCTTATAAGATTCATGTAAGAAGATCAATCCTGGTATATATTATGTAGAACACAAGAGTAATAGAAAATCTATTAATTTTCAATCTTCAACTTCTTTCATCTTTGTCTTTACAACACAAATAAAAGCTTGTTAAAATGAGCATCTCTATGGAAATCTTTAAATTATTTCATGAAAATATGGCAACTATTATGGATGGATACAGATCCTCTAGAATTACAATGGAAATTGTAGGTGCAATTATCCTAGATATGGCCATTTCATTTTGATTTTTGAAAGGGTGGGCTTGAATTAAACTCGTTTTCTCAAAATCACTTCCATATTAATAGACTCAATACCATACAGCCTTTTAAATTAAAGAGGACAGAAATCTTATAAGGAATACCATAAAAATAAAAAAATCCTACGTGGAACTTGTTATCCTTACTTATTCCTATAATGAACTTTGCATTTACAAATGTGTCAATGATGGATGTTAATATCTAAAAAACAAAATTTCATTATGTCATAAGTGAAGATAAGCAACTTCTTATGGTTATGTCTAAACGCTGAGAATTTGACTGAAGGATCTAGTGTGAAGATGATTGGAGTTTCGTCTCGTTGAATACGAGTAAGCACCATTAACAAGATCCTTCGTTGTCTTTGAACGTTTTGATTTATTCATCACTAAAAAAATTTGAGGATAATAGAAGAAGCGATGAGTTATTTGCCAATGATTCATTTATTTCATATCCTCGCCCTCCCTAAATTAGCACCCCCAATAAAAAGATGTGAGTTCACAAATCACAACAACTACTGATTCAAAGCATCAACAACACATTCTATTCTACATTCTAGAAATAATCAGCAAAAGCATTCAGATACCGCATTCAGCAGCAACCAACCTCTCTGAAGCTGCACGGAGGCGTTTCATCGAACACCTGAAGAGTAATAAGTCAATCATTCGCCGTAGCCAGCTGAACGGAAAGGAGCTCATCTTCTGGTATAGTACGGATAACACAATCGGAGAGGGGGTGGGAGACGCAGAGGAGAGCGTATCCACTTGCGATGACGTCTTCACTGAGCATGCCCTCGCTCTGGTCGACGGCACCGCTGAGAAGGCGAGCAGGGCAGGTCATGCAAACCCCGAGCTTGCAATCATGGGGAACTTCAACTCCCTCTTCCAGTGCTCGCCCTAGTATTGTCTCGTCCTCGCCTACTTCTAATGTACGCTGGTCTCCCTCGTGCTCGATTGTGACTTTGTATGCTCTGCACCACTTAGCGAATAGATGCCGCCGCCGACGGGATCCGGCGGGGGTCGGCGTCGGTAGGCGACACTGGTGAAAGAGGCGGATTGGGGTTGGTTTGATGTTGGGCGGAAGTAACGGAGGGGAAACGGAGAAGCGAGTTAGGCTTGTCGCCATTGTAACGCTATGAATCGTTGTATTGTCGCACAGTGCAGCTCTTGTTGCTGAAGCCTGCGGTAGGAGGGAGCGTGGGTGGGGCGGATAAGGTGATGAGCCATATATGATTTATAATTATATATAAAATATAATAGAGATTTTTACATACTTAACACTTAAAACAACTCTATTTACCTATTAAACATCTAAACTTTTCTATTTACCTATATACCACCTGAAAAACAATTATCTCATCAAAAATAACACTCCGTCTCTTCGCCGTCAACTCCAAAATTGTATACTAAAAATTTGTTTTAGGAAGCAGTACGAAAGCTGTCCCAAATGAAGTCTTAATCTCATCTACTGTATGCATTATGGCTTCCCTAATGATAAGAGAAGAGCAACTCAAGCCGATGACCGAAAAGAAATTGTTCATTGTGGGACTCATTTGTGAAGCTCGAGGAGAGTACAAACTAGGTCCTAAATAATATGCTTAGAGATGACTAAGTTCTTTATGATTTACTATATTGTCATAATGATCTTCTCCTTATTGTTCAAATTTGATTCCATTATCATAATCATAAATGTAGCTTTTTTTCATCTCTAAAATTTTGAAACTCACAATCAAATATTAAATTAAATTTTATTCAAACCAATTTAATTTTGAATCATAAAACTTATTTATTATTATGATTATTTTCATCCAAAAAAACTAAATTCAAAATATATATTTAAATAGAATATACGATAAATATTTGCTTATGAAGTGAAAATTTTCTTCCAAGTTCTAAGTTTATCTTATCTTTATTTTTTTAACAAAAAAAAAAAAAAAAAAAAAAAAGTTTATCTTATCTTTATATATATATTTTTAAAAGAAGTGAAAAATAAATAAATAAATAAAGAACGATCATGACCGTCCATCGACTGGATGTCCATTCATGAACGATATATAAAAGATACAGTTCCTGCCGAAGCTAGGCATATAGTGTAAAACCCTAGCGGCCGCTTGCTGCAAGGAGACGGTACAGAGAAACAACTGTTTCCTGTTGCAAGAGAAAGCTAGGAGCCATGGTGGGAGACGTTCTTTCACTTATAACCTTTGAAGCTTTCTTACTTGATATTCGCTTCAGAAAATTTTTTCTTGCTCTTATCTGCTTATTCTCATTTTTTTGTCTTTAATTGCAGTCGCTTATCGCGAACGAAGATTTTCAACATATTCTTCGTGTTCTGAACACAAACGTAGATGGGAAGAAAAAGATTATGTTCGCCCTCACATCCATTAAGGGTATCGGCCGCCGCTTTGCCAACATCGTTTGCAAGAAGGCCGATGTGGACATGAACAAAAGGTTCTTGTTTCATTGATTTACACGTTTATTTTCGAAATAGTATTGGGTTTAGATCCTTGGACGGCTCTGGCAGAGCCGGTGGATTAGGCGTGGATCATCGTCTATGATACCTTTTTGACTTATATTTCCCTTTGAGTCGGCAATTGTTTGAATTTTTATGTAGTGTTTCTATGCTTAAGAATTCTAAGTTATGTTCATTTCGCGTATGCTTTACATATCTCTTCATTTGGTATCTATTTTACCGGTGGAACCTTAGCGAGATTGCTGATATTTCATGATGGCTTCTTTCAGTCTTTTTGTATTTTTCTTCTAAATGTATGAATTTGAGTTTGATCTGCTCTTTTATTTAACATCCATTTTTTGCTGCTATTAAAATAGTATGTATTTGTAGAGCTGGCGAGCTTTCAGCAGCAGAACTCGAGAATCTGATGACGATTGTTGCAAATCCCCGTCAATTTAAGATTCCGGACTGGTTTTTAAACAGGAAGAAGGACTACAAAGATGGGAGGTACTCTCAGGTTGTGTCTAATGCTCTGGACATGAAGCTTAGAGATGATCTGGAGCGTTTGAAGAAAATCAGGTATGTTTCTAATTAATTTTGTTCCATCTCCTTACTTTCTGTTTTATGCAGTCAAACTTGCTGGAATTGTTTATTGAGCAGGATTTGTTCTTCTGTAGCTCGATCAAACAAAAAAATTTATGTAAAAATAGGATTTTTTTTTATTTATCTGTTAACTTTAACTGTGAATGATCAGATGGATGCCACCAAATTCTATGTCTTGTTTTTTACTTAGTATTTCTATGTTATGAGCTTTATGTTGGACTACAATGATATAATAAATCAGAACTTCGAAAGTCTCTTCTAGTTTGTTTAAAATCGGGTGCTTGGTAAAAATAATGCTGAGTTATCTTTGTTTTTTGAGAAATTTTAAGTACTAGTAAACTTTTCATTTATGATTTAGGATTTCAGAAATATGCTCGAATGCAAACCACCGATGGAAAAAGAAAAAGCCTAAAGGTACCGAGCTACCATGGTATTCAGCATGGTACCGAGCGACACCGAGCAGCATGATAGTTTGGATATCGTGAAGTTCCAAACTTCACAACTTACATGTACCTATCAATCATGGTACTGAGCGTGGCACCGAGCATTGTACCTAACGATACCGAGCAATACCATCGACCGTTACCGAGTTTAGTCACGGACAACTTTAAAACTTGGTAACCTAAAGATGTTGTTCTACATTATGGTACTGAGCGTGATAACTATAGTAGCCGCTCGGTGCAGAGTGGTACTGAGCGGTCATACCGAGAGTTACCGACTATTATTACATGAGATTTCATTCAATCGTAACATTTATTTTAAAGGATCCCTGTCGAGTCGGATCGTCGGGTTGCTACGTGCCGTCATTTAATTGGCATTCGGATGTAGGGCTACGTCCAGTGTCCGCACCCAATAAAAATTTCTTGATGGAAGGTGTCAAAAGTAGCCATCTTTTTTCTCACTTATATATATATAACTCTTACTTAGTCTCTTTACTATTGGCATGCAAAGGTATTAAACCGGAAGCCTTGTTTGTTTGTTTTCTTTTCCTTGCTGATGTCACTAGTTTGGTGAGTTTGACTTCTATTTGCTTTCCTAAAAAATAAGCTGCACTACTTGTCCATAAAATTTATAGCTTTCCCTCCAGATTGTAATTATGTATAAGATGAATGTATAATGAGAATGGTAACTTGTAAGTTCTAACATATACCGTGTCTTGTATGTGGCATACTTGTGTTTTGTTCTATCAATAGTGTGTGGAGTGAATTACTAAGCAACTCTATTTCCTTTGTAAAATGTCATTTCATCAGCAAGTAGTGGCGAAATACTGTGAAATAAACATTTTTTTACCCTCAATTGAAAATAATTTATGGTGAAATTGAGGGTTTCCTGTTTTCCATTCTGTTATATCAAACTATATTGGGAATGTGGTCATATTCTCAACGGAGGAGATTGATATTGCAAGAATGAGTGCTCTTTTAGGAGGCTGACATTATATTGTAAAAATTTTGAAAGTACTTGATATATTTTGATTTGTTGGATTTCATTTATACTTTGAGAACTTCTGGTTTTTCATTCATTGTGGTGATTCTAATTTAACTGATAATAGCGATGGATCAATTCCCATTATTATGTTTTTATTCTGTAGTTCAATTCCCAATAATAAATTTCCTGCATGAAACATTAGGTCATGCTGACATATTGCAGAGTTATAGTAAGTTTCGGTGTGTACCTTTGTTGCGAAACAGAATATCTTGTTGCTTACTGGATACTAATTTCTAATGTGACAAGGCCAAGCATTTCTTTACCGGCTACATTTCAGGCCACCATTTTTTAGCAATATCTCAAGGAAAATTTCTGGATATAGATTTCATCAAAAACTTTTGTTGGCCTCTGCCTTTTTCTTCTGATAAAGGCTTTGTTTGGGACAGCTTTTTTCCAGCCTCTTGAAACGGCTTTCTAGTACATCAACCCTAAACCCTTAACCGCTTTAAGAAGCAGGAAGAAAGGTGTCCCAAATGAAGCCAAAGAGGCTGCATTTACTTGATTTGTAGATCGTCTAATCTACCTCGTTTGCTGCCAAGTCAGCTTTAAAGTTTTAATTCCATTTTCTTTTTAAATTTTCTCCATCCATTTTCAATCTTCTCTTTTGTTTGCCTATGTAATGTTGCGTATTAGAAGAAATAGCTGTAGACAAGTAGAGATTAATCTCATTTTGAACTTCCTTTTTAGTGATAGGATACGAAATGAGCATATACGTGAAAAGGTTGGAGTAGCTCCAGTAGAAGATAAGATTAGAGAGAGTCGCCTTAGATGGTTTGGTCACATAAAAAGGCGGCCTTCCGACGACCCAGTTAAGAGAGTAGAGGTATTAGATTTGACTTGTGTTAAGAAAGGTAGGGGTAGACCTAAAAAGACTTGGTTAGAAAATATTAGGAATGACCTTTCTTTATTAGATTTAAACGAGAATTTGGCTTTTAATAGGACACAATGGAGAAAAAGGATTCATGTAGCCGACCCCACGTAGTGGGATAAAGGCTTGATGTTGTTGTTGTTGTTGTTGTATTATTATTTCCTTGTGCTTTACGGTACAGGCTATAGACTATTTATAGATATAGGAAAGATGTATATCCAATCATATAATGCCAAGTGTCATTATATATTAAATACAAAGTATTATGCTGTAATAGCCTATGTAATGTTGGTTATTAGAAGAAATAGCTATAGACAAGTAGAGATTAATCTCATTTTGAACTTCCTTTTTAGTAACTATCATCATTTCTGTCCATCAATTGCAGGAATCACCGTGGTCTACGTCACTACTGGGGTCTTCGTGTTCGAGGGCAGCACACCAAGACAACTGGTAGGAGGGGGAAGACTGTGGGTGTCTCAAAGAAGCGATAAGCTTTTCCTCATCAGCTTTTTAGCAGAGGTCATGTTGGTGTTTTGAACTAAGAAAACCTATCCAAGCATGTTTTCTTTTATTTTTCAGCATTTACATTTGAAAGAATTGTGTTTTATCTAAACCGATTTTGATGAAGTGCTTAGTGGTATTTGTTATGATCGAGAAATGGAATTAGTTGCTTCTTGTAGTGTTTCTTGAAAGAGATTTGAAACATCGGCAAGCAAATGGAATCTGTATATATCAATATGTTGTTTGCTCACATAAGCTGCTTCCCAATAATGCTACAGGCAAGCCTAATGTGTCCCTCATCTGCTCTGGGGTTTTCTGCTAATTCATCAAGTGGCAAATTATGCCAGTTGTATGTTTTTGAGTGCTTGCAAAAGTAATATTACAATTTTCTTTCTCAGCTACAATGTCATTGATATATATATATTCCGCACAGAATAATTTCTCCTTACGATGAGCGTAACTTTCTTCATTGTCATGGAAGAGTATATTTCCTTGTGATTTGTATACATTGGTTTCAATGTCATTGTTATATATATAAATAGAGATATTGTGATGAAGGGTTAGAAGAGAATGAAGGAGATAACAGCTGAACAACAGGCATGGAGAAGATTGATCTGCTTCTTGCGTTCTAAATAGAATGGTTTGGAGCTTGCGGCTGTAGGTGCTCATCTCTTACTTACTACCATGTTTGAGGTGGCTAAGCTTTTCTCATAGCCAAAAAGTTCTCATTACATTCGGATATGCGGTATTTATGCAAGATTTTAGAATTATGTTCTTCACTGTCTTGCTCTGGTAGAATTAAGGTCTAACTTATTGGCTTTGGGTGTTTTTCTCCTATTCTTGTTGAGGCCATGTCACCATTTTGTTATATACTGGGTGATCTGGTGTATCGTGATTCGTCTCTAGATGGTTCGGTGATCGCACGTAAAAATTTCTCTAAGGAGAGTTACGTTACGTCACAATGGATGTCAGAGGGAGGAGCAACCGCACAGCTAATAAGAATATTCTGATGATTTTTATGGTAGGATGGATTTCAAAATCTTAAAATTCCCTTGAGCTTAGAGCATATGATATTTGCTCTAATATTCAGTGATTATATTAATATTAATGCAAATAAAAGATCGTTTTAAAGGAAAATGAATATTTTTACATAAAATTTTTCATTACCAAGTCTCTTGCTCATTGGTTCCTCAATTAATGATAAACAAATATAAGAAAGAGCTGGATTAGTGATGCATGTAATAATAAGATTAATAGAATGATTTCCTTTAAAAAAAGAAATTTATAGAAAATATATTTAACATTAAAAAAAATAAAACATTTATAAAAAGTATAAATTGGGAGGAAAGAAATTATATTTATTTATTTTTTCAGATATCTCTGTTTTTTTTATTTTTTTACTTTTTTTCCCTCTCCCATCTGTATTTGAGAAGATTTGTTAGCTCTGTCCTAACTAGGGTTGTATGTTTGGTCAAATCATGAGTTGACTCGAGTTTGTCTTGATAAATGGCTCTTGAGCAGGTTCTTTGAGCTCTGAGAGTTGATTCATTAAAATAGGGGGATTTACATGCATACCATTTTATTTTATGCTATTTATATATATAATACTTAAAACATTAATATTACATGTCTATCACGCATAGATCAAATATGAGTGCATGAAATGAAATATTAAAATTTATAGGGTTATATGAGTGTTAAGAATGAAATATAAAAGTGATATATTCGACATTAAAATTTTATATGAGTAGTATAAATGTAATATTAAAGTTTTGAATGTTAGATATGTATGTAATAATGATATAAAAATACAAAAAATTATTAACATTCATGAGTTTTAAGTTTAAATTATATCTTATTTTCTATATCAAATCATTCTTCATTGTTCCTTTTAATTTCTTATTTTTTTACCATTTTATTACACTAATTTTTTTAAAAAATTTTTAATCTTTTTTCTCTTTCATGATAAATTAATCGTCATTAATTTGATGTAATTGTTAGGGGTGTCAATTTGGGTCAATGGGTCGGGTTCGAGTCGAACTCAAAACTGACCCGACACTGTTCGGGTCAACCCGAACCCGACCCATTTTTAAAAACAGGTTAGGTTTCCGGACCCGAACCCGACACGAATGACCCGAAGTTGACCTAAAATTGTTAGTTTTCGGGTCAAAATAGGATCAATCTTCGATTTGTTGAATCCGAACCCGACCCGTTTCGGGTCCGGGTTGACCCTAACCTGGATTTTTCCGGGTCAAGCTCGGGTCGTGTCAAAAATTGACACCCCTAGACTAACTGTCATTGATGTAAAAATCACTTATAAGGAATAACGTACAAGCATGTGACAAAAGAATACAAGCCATATGGAGGAATAATCCGGTGAATTGTGCTTCCTATATATTCTTGTACAGTTATTGATGAGAGTTCTGATTCCCATAAATCATTCACAAATGGGATAAGAATCTTTATTTTTTAGGACTTACTTTTCTCTTTATTCCTTGTCTAAAGAGTGATGAATCTGTTTCCCAGTTTTTTTATGATGCGATTTTTTTTTAGCATTTTAAAATATGTATTTTTTGGAGCTGTTATTTTTCTATTCAGGCCTAATATTTGTCAAGTTTTCAATCGTATTTTTGGGGATCACAAATCTGCTAACTAAAAAAAATTATTACTATTTCGCCAATTGTGATTCCATTTACTATATTTAGAGAGAAAGGAATTCCATAAGGCATGTGAGCTCTCACTCTGGTATCAATACCGCTTTAATTTTATTAAGGAAGGCTATTAGAGTTGAGATTAGTAGTACAACAACAACATCAAGTCTTTGTCCCACTATGTGAGGTCGGCTACATGAATCCTTTTTCGTCATTTTGTCATGTTAAAAGTCAAATTCTCATTTAAATCTAATAGAAAAAGATCATTTTTAATATTTTATAACCAAATTTTTTTAGGTCTACCTCGATCTTTCTTAACATAAGTCAAATCTAATACCTCGACTCTCCTAACCGGGTCATTGGAAGGCCTCCGTTTAATGTGACCAAACCATCTAAGGCGACTTTCTCTAATCTTATCTTCTACCGGAGCTAGTCCAACCTTTTCATGTGTATACTTATTTTGTATCCTATCTCTAAGGGTAAAGCCACTCATCCACCTAAGCATCCTCATCTTTGCTACACTTAATTTAGTATCATTCTTCTCTTTTAATGACCAACATTCGGAACCATAAAACAGTTACAAAAATTTTGACAGATGCTTAACCTTATTATTCTAATACCTTTTTTTGGTTTTATGTCATATATTATATGATTTTTTTGGAGAATGTTCTCGCTGGTGCTTTTGTTCCTCTGTGATTCTTTTGGTTTCACCGGGGCTTGACTGTTGGTTTTTAAATTGTTGTTTCAGTTAGTATCTCCTGTCAATTTTGTTGCTGCCTCCATAGGATGGTTCTTTGCCTTGGCAACTAGGGGGGACTATTTAATGTTGGCCATTTTTGCAGAGGTGTTGCGTAATTCCTGAGTCTTGTAGGACGTGGTTCCATTATTTTTTGTTTTCTTTTGGTAATTTTTTTTAGGTTGTCCTTGCAATCTTTAGACTCATATGTGCTATATTTTGTTGTTTTTTAATTTTTGTCTCTTTTGAGGCTTCCTTTGTAATTCCTTTTTCATTTCAATGAAAGTAGGGCTTGCCCCAATGATGCGTCTTTTGTGTTTTTAAGTTTTTCTTTGAATGTTAGTGGTGGTTAGGATTGGAAATGAATTGAATATGAATGGATTATAATTTTATAGGATTTGATGTGGGCTCCGAAAATTCACATCCCTGCCTATCTGCGGCCCCTTTTCTTTTCTTTGGGCTATCGAGGAGAGTTTTAACGCTTAAGTTCTGCGGCAAATTTTCAGAATGCAAATTGGATTTTGAATTAGACATTATCCAGAGATTTTGCCCACATTTTGCGAGGATGTTATGATCTAAGTTTAGGTTTCCTATAGGCGCAAGCCCCTATAGTTAATTACCCCTCCGAATAACGAGAGAGAACTTTCGATTAAGGCTAGTTATCAAACGGATATGTAATATCCGACGTATAGTAGCAGCATGAATTGGGTATTTGAAAATTTAATATTTAAAATTAAAAATTCATCACCCTGCACTTAAAGCGGATGGTGTGTGTGTTGGGGGAGAGGAATGATGACAGACTCGATAAAGATCCCAAGGTTCCGTCATTCTTGGTCATCACGGTCCCTAGTCTACTTAATTAGAGGAGGTAGTCGACCCAACCTGATCGAAGGATCCTTGTCGGCAGCCGTGAATTGCTTCGTCCAAGTGTGCTTTATAAACCTAGGGTGAATGTTTGTCTAAGGGGATAAATTTAAATACACTTTAACAAACACGGGGATTTGTGCCCTATTGATCATATCATATTAATTTTTTACTCAATGATTTGAAGTTGTTGGGGAACATACGGGTTATGACCATGACCGTAATATAATAGTGCCATTTAACGATAAAACCACCCAGTGATAGGATCCCGGTCATAGCCGTTTACTTATGGTGCCATTTGGCGGCGAAACCACTGTTAGAGGACGCGTTCCACGTTCTTGCTAGCGAGAGACGTATTGAGAATGAATCAAGATAATATTCTCGACTAAACATCTACTCATTGTGAGTTGAAATGATTTTTAATTTGTCCTCATCGACAAACCGTTACGGAGGATGGATGTGTATTTTCGCTTTAAGAATTTTGATGATTTATTTTAATTTTAAATATTGACATATTTGAGTGCATTTCATAAAAATTTGGAGCCATTTTTAAATATTTGGGATCTCCTCCGATTGAGATCTTCTATTAACATGGTCATCTTCAGGGTAACTTTATGGGCAATTTTATTTTTATCTGTTGAATTTTATCGACTTTGTCAACTTGATGACAAATGATCAGGTTTGTTGTTGGCTTTTTTATGCTATTATTAGTGAATTTTCTTTGTTATATATCTTGAATGTCTAATATGAACGTATAAAATAAATATCTCGATCAATGTTGCGATCACATATTTGCTTAATAGTTCGAGCCGTGTCGACTCCTATCTATTCATATATAAGGATCGGGTTCGAACTTATGTTCATTTCTTGACATGCAGAGTATCCTCAAAATTCATGTGTGCACATACAACATGCTTATCGGGGATATTTTAATGCATGAGGGGGCATTTTAGAATATTTGCTTATAAGCAATTGCTTAAATGACTATTATTGAAAGAGTGCACAAGATTCAATTTTAAAATTTGCAAATGCCTTATGTCCACTTGTACGAGCGTTGCAGATCTGTTGGCGTGGTGCAACAATTAGTCGAATTTCATCTGTTGCGCATTGACAATGTATTTTAGTCATTTCATCTTATGCAATATTCAACCTGCAGGGGTGTACTTATGCTTGTAAATGAGTTGCATGGTGCATCATAAGTTTTTCACATGTTGTTTGCAAGCGAGCTAATTTATCTGGCGTGACAACCTGGTTTTACAAATTTGCCGCCTTAGTTTACTAATGGCCTGCAATGTTTACTACAAATTCCCTGCTTCTGCTTACAGGTGAATTGTAGCGTTTGTTGAGTTTGGATGAATATGTTTGTGGGTAGTGCGCCATCAACGAACATTCAAAGGTGGTACGTTGTTGCATGCAAGTGAGCTACATTCAATGTATATGTTGCTAGTGGGCGGACCATTGTATGCATTATAGGCCTTCCATTGTTATATGACGGCGAACTGCGCTGAATGAAAATCTCCCAGTGCCACCCGTAGATGCTTGCATTTACCACATTCTCCATGCATCTTGCTTGTAGGTAGCATGTTGGGTGCATGATGAGTTTCCTTCAGTAGCTCATAGGTGCTTCTATCCGTTGCATATCGACTATCTTTGCTTGGGAAGGAATTAATGTATTCACCTTACATTGAATGGTTGTTAACATTCACTATCAATTACTGCTCATCATCCATATATACATTATTGTGCGTACGACGAATCTTTCACCATTGCCAATTGGTGAATCACATTCATCGTATATTGCACAGAGTATGTTTGCGAGAGGCTTCGTTATTTGCAAGCGAATTTGTGTTCATTTGTATGTCACTATTGGCTATCAGTAAGCTATATTCATCACTGATTCTTCATGCACGTCGGTTAGGAGGTTGTTATATTTGCTTGCATATCTTTTAGTATTCATAAGGGACTGGTCACCCTTACAATCTATCTGTTATTGTTAATTGTAGGGACTACTGTATTTTCTTACATAACTTATATTAGACATCAACTATCATCATTTGTATGCAATTTGCAATATTATTTGGGGGCTTCTTTCATTTGTTTTCAATCAAATTATACATTCTTTCCCATTTCATTGCTTGCAAGGTCGAATATGACTGGTTGTATTTTGATGTTGACTGCAGGGCGTGGGGTGCTGTGTTCATTGCATATTTTTCATATATCCCTCACGAATGCTCCATCCATGATTGAGGAATTGCTTTTATTTATGTTATGTGTTCCCCTCATATTGATTGATTGTACTCTATTGACTTTTACTTGCAAGAGAGCATTATACGGCAATTTGTTCATCATAAGTCTTATGATTATTTATTAGTGTTTGTTTGAATGACTTAATCCGCATTTTAGGATTTGCATTTTAATTTTAATTGTGCATTTTAAGGTTTATGATTCAGTTTCTTGTTATTTCATTAAAGTTTTGCTCCTTGCAGTCCGTTTATTCAAGTTCAGGACCTATGTTGCTTTGTTTGAGTTTTGTTCCCTCTTATTCATTCAAGTTTGCAAGTTCAATCCCATATATTTTGGTCAAGTTCAGGTCCTTTGTCAATTAAAACTTCGGTAGTCTCTTGGCGTCATTCCCATTTTGGAGAAATTTGAGAAGTTGAGCCTTCCCACCATGCAATGAGAGCATGTATGGTAGGTGTCAGGCGACATCGTGGATGTGAATCTTCAATCCCACCATGCTACCAAAGCATGTATGGGTCTTCGAGATACCTAACTGAAATGCACAGTTTTCTTTCCCTGCAGGAACTAAAGCATGTACTTGAGTACTTAAAGTTATCCCCGCCACGCTACGAGAGCATGTACAAGGCCTACCCGCCTCGTTACAAGCACCGCATTGGGCCCCTTCCAACTACGCTACGAGAGCGTGCATGGGTAGTCCCTCGACGCACCGTGGGCGCCGAAAGAGGGATTTTGAGATTTTTTTGAGTTTGAGACATTTATACATTCGCACAAAAACTATGGTGGTGATGATGTCGGTGATGACGTTGACAAAATGCATGAAATACCCTTTTTCTTTTTTTTATTTCCCTCTTCTTTTTATTTTCTTTCTCATTTTTTCTTTCTTTCTTTCTTTCTTTTCTTCTCTTTTTTGTTGGATAATAATAATAATAATAATAATATTATTATTATTATTAAATACTAATATTATCAAAATAAATATAAGAGGGAGAGATTACCTAGCTTTGGGGAGGTCGACACAAGCAACAAATCAGTTGAGTAGAGGCTTCGATTGTTGGATTCAACTGGATTTGGGTGGTCAGGCCGAGTGTAGGGTTCGGGAGGCTTAGTCCAATAGGGAGTTAGGTCGGCTTCGGCTTGTAGACGAGTATAAGAATCTCAGGGAGGTCAGTTGTCTTGCGGCTGGATTTTGTGAATAGAGGGCTGATGCGATCGGTTTGGCGAGGAGATTCGGAGGGCTGTGCGGCTCTACAGGTGTTGTGAGAGTGGTGTGGCGGCAGGGGCGGATTCCCAACGATTTCATAGTAAGATGGGTGATGATTAACTCAATAATTATCTTCCGCCTTTCATTGAAAAAGATGTGTTTGATTTTATTATCCAATATTATCAAAAAATTAAAATAGATTAATAAAATTATAATGATTTTTAATTTTCCTATCAATACAAGATGTTATCCGAATGAACAGGGCATGGGATACTGTAGCAGTGGAGGGATCAGATTTGAGCAGAATTTCGGTAGAGAAACGAGATGGGCAGACCGGATTTTGGCAGATGTAAATTTTATATTATTTTGTTACTGTTATTATCTTATTTTTATTTTGGATTGAGTTGAGGTCAACATTTGATTCATTAGTTCGAGTGTAAATGGGCAGAATATGAGCAAGATATAGTTTTATTCAGCTCAATTCATTAATTATTAAGTCAGACATCAATGAGGTCAAACTTTTCCAATCTTTTTGCCGGACTTAGGTATTTTTTTTATAGTTTTCTTACTGTTTTATAAAGAAATTTTCTAGCACAAAAATTTCTTAAAAGTAGTAAAAAAATAATAACAAAAAACTGCCCCAAATTAAACTTTAATATTCTTTCATATTTTCAATCTTTCTTCAAGCATTGCTATGATCAAGAATGTAAATGAATAAAACATGATCAAATTAGAATTGTAATCGGCTTGATTCATTAATTATCAAGTTGAACACGAATTAACTTTTATATACATAATTTTTGTATTTTTTAAGGATTAAATTGGCAAACTAAACAAGTATTTTTTTTCACAAATCATACAATTCAAAGTTGATGGTGAACTAATTTAGACCACATATAAAAGGTAGCAAATTAGATAGACTTTCAGTTCAATAGGGCATTCACAATATTAAAAACTATATAGAACACACTAGCTTGTATTTTCATTCATGGAATCTCAGAAATTCAGCAAAATAACACTAAAAAATGATGATACAAATTGGAATGAGATTAGGGCTCATTTGCTAGTTAAAATTAGAAAGAAAGTTATAAAAATCATGAGAAACTTTATTTAACAAAACTGCAATCTTCATCAAGATGTATTCTCACTCAAATATTCTTTCCCCTCTCGAAAAAATTAAAAAAATAAGAGAACTAGAAATGCAAAGATAAGCTGGAATAAAGAATACCGGTTTCCAGCTCTCTGGGCTAGAGAGATGCCCATCAGTAACCTTAGCGATCTCAAGAATCCTCCCAGTGAGTCCAACACCAATGATACCAGCTAATGTCCCAGCTGTATTTGAAACTCCCATTACAATCCCAGCATAACCTGGAGCTATATCCAGATGGTTTACCGCAAAGCCAGCTCTCCCTAATGCCAGAAAACCCAAAGAAACTGAAGAGCAAAGCACAGTGCCAGAAGAAGTTTTGAACAGAGGTAGAGAAAATAAGGCCAAAGCAGAAATAACAAATCCAACGGTATTTAGAAGCTTGCGAGTTTGCGTTATGGATAAGATCCTCCTTGTGATGAGATGATCAGCTACCACTCCACCCATATTAGAAAAGATGAACATGTTCAAATAAGGCAGCATCTTTGATGATCCCATCTCCTGAAGACTAAGTTGAAGACCGAGCTCAAAGTACGTTGGAAGCCAGTTCATCAAAACATATAATGCATAGTGAAAAGTGAAGTTGTTCACCACAATGGCCCAAACTGGCAAGCTGAACATCATCTTTCTCCATGGGATTTTTGATAGATGTGGCAAATTCCCTTTCTCCTTAGATTTTGTTATTGGCAGTGCTCTTGCCTTGGGGTTGTCGGAGTAAGGCGGGTCGCTCGCAAATTTGAACCAAAGGATGCACCAAGTGATGCCCAATGCTGCTTCAACAAGAAATACAGACTGAGGACCTTGGCGTTTCACCAAACCTGGAAGCAAAAGCATGGCTGCAGCTGCACCAAGATACATCCCGGAAGTAGTTAGAGAAACGGATCGGGACCGCTCATGGGCTGGAACCCACTGTGCCAGGATTGTGTGAATGCAAGGGAAAATGAAGCCTTGTGCCGCCCCGACAAGAAGACGAGAGATCACCAATATGACGACTTGGTTTGGGTCCATCGGAACTAAGGCACATATGGAAGACCATAAAAGAAATGCCAAAAGCAGGATGCGCCTACCTCCAAGACTTTGTGCAGCCCATCCACCAGGGATCTGTGAAAGAACATACCCATAGTAGAAGGTTGAGAGTATAAGACCTTTGCTAGATTGATTTATACCAATGGCATTTGCAGCTGCGGAGTAAGCAATTGAAAAGCCCATTCGCTCAATGTAGAAAACATTTGTGCATAAGAATGTCAGAACAACAATCAAATATCGCTTTGGAAATTTCACTCTTTCCATGATTTAGAGATACTATGGATCACCTTCATATCATCTTTTCAAATGGAAAAACAGAAAATTTGTAACATAAACATGTAGCACTCATTCTTGAAGCAAGAGGGGGCTTTAAGGAGGGTAATTTGCTTTACACCACTTAAGAGGATCCTGTAAAAAGTCAAAAAACGGAAAAGTGATTTCCATAGATAAACAATCATAGGCTAATAAAATTTTAAACAAGGTAAATAAATATCATAGAAAAATGAAAAATGATAACTAAATTTTGGAAAAACTCATAGGATATGATATTCCATTACATGCTCAACATGCTAAGTGGACAACATCATCCACATCATCATCATCATCATTAGCCTAATTGAAAATATTAATTTATGTGTCCTCATTTTGTATTCATTAGTGTTGAGTGCTACTTGATGTATTAAACCTATTCTTAGCAAATCAGTCTAAACAATTTATATCTATATTATCTTTAATCCACATCTCTCTTGATCTTCTAACACTAAATTTATCTACTCGTCTAATGGATGCATTTTCTATCTTTTGATAAATATCATAAGAGTTGTAAAAAAAATAACTTTGGTAGGACTCTACAAGTGATGGACAAATGATTCACATTACTTTTTCAACATGCTAGGAGAATGAGTGTAATTTGAAATATGTACATAAATTTTTTTTCCAGCAACAATGTCTGTTCCAATCCTATCAATGGGAGACAGCAAAGTAAATAATCTTATTATAATCAAACAATTCAAAAACCACAATCAATTCTCATAATGCAGTCCATGGCACAATAACTAATTATAAAATTTGAAATTGATGTAAATATAATGATGATTAATTTAGATGTTAGCATGCTCTTACACTTTGTGATGCCGTGATGCCCCAAAATCTAAATTGAATATGTTCTTTTACTTAGATCATGGGACATTACACACTTCCTCCAACAAGATTTAAGAACGGCATAAATAAGGAGGTAACACATTCTACAGCTTATCTTTTTTATAAGATAAATGAGCACTTGGAATTAACTGATTTTTTTAACCATAACATCAAATTCTCAATAACCGCAAAACCTTGTTGAGGAGAGGAATTATGCATCTCTGTAAAAAATATAGAAGCAAACTCTAATCCTTTTGCTATTTTTACTTTTGCATTTGATCAATGGTCTTTAAAAATATCATTAAAAATTTAGGAAGAGACCTCATTTCCATCGGATAAAAAGCGAACTTGAAAACTCAAGCCAGGCTAAACGATTACAACTCAATGAAGGTAGTACTAATTCACCACAAAAAAGAAAAAGAATGCAGGACTATTAGCACCACCAGATTAAGTTTAAATGCACTAGAAAAATTTTACCATGTTTGCAACTTAAACTATTTAAAGAATAAGATCTTTACAAACAAAAAAACCAAGAAAAAAGGTAGGTTATGGCAAAAGCACGTAGGGTGACAATTGCAGTCTCCTTCTAAAAGCTCCATTAATGTAGGCGCCATGGATCTGGGGTAAAATTGTATCTTATTGCATCGAGCATATCATCTTGTAAACAAAGTAACAAACCGTAACTTGCTAACAGCTTAATTGGTTGCTTGTAATTACAAAACATGTTACAGAAAATAAAGATTTTGAGGGATTTTTGAGAAAGTTTGGGGAGTTTAAAATCAGAGTTGATGTCTATAACTACATCCAGCCAAATAAAATTCATCCACAAAACATTATTTTTAATTACATCCAGGAAGTAAATTCTGGGTTTGGCCCATTCGATTGAGCTAGCCTAGGGGTGAGACATTTTTAGTCAAGCACAGTTCAATATCATACTACCAAGAAAGAGACGACTTGCTGTGGTCCATACAACTATCACTGACTCATCTTATTCTGGAAAGAAATTCAATTAAAAAGACAAGGCAAGGGCAAGCATTATAACTAAAGAAAACTGCGGTTTTATAAACGAAGAACGAAGAAAAAATAGATTAAGCGGGACGAAGAGAGATTGAACCTGAAACCGAAATGGAGGAATACACCTTGACAGCTGATCTTCTCCTGCCGTCTTCCTCAGAGGCGGTGGCCGATTGCGGGGAGCGCGAGCCGTCCCCGGCACTATCGGTAGAGAGGGAAGCCAGCAGGCCGAGTAGATTTAGACGGCAACCCGATTAGTTGACACACGATAATATATTCGGGTTAGGAACTCTGAATTAGGCCTATAAAACGCCTGCTTCGGGTCAACTCCTGGCTCATGCGAATATAGGAAAGCGAGGAGAGGGGAGGGAGAAAAAGTCTCCTCCATGATGAAGAAGGAGATCGTAGCACGATCACCGCGGCTCTTCTGCTCTTCCTGGTTGGGGAATAAATATCTTAAAAATTATATTATAAAAATCGAAATTATATATATATATATATATATATATTGAATTTTTTTAATAAATATTTTACTCTCTTCATAAATTTTTTTATGTGGACTTTATGATAATATTTTCTCAGCCAAAATAGTAAGGAGGATTTAAGTGACACTTTTATCATCGATCACTCAAAACGTGATGATAATATGTCTATAATTATGACAATTTTATCATTAATCATGAAAAATAGTGTAATAAATAGAATAAATTTTTATGATTTTATATTTTAATTCATTATTATGGTTGGGAATAAATATCATATACTTTTTTGTATGAGAATATGATTATTTTTTCGATCATACTCACTAGATAGTCATCATAATGAGAGTGGTAATTTTGTTGTTAGTCTTGATAAATGTGATGAGTTTGACTATAATTTTCAATTTGTGCAAGTAATGATGAAATTAGCTTTTTTTATAGAAGTATAGCATGTGAGAGGTTGATTCAATCGAGATATAGTAAATCTTGATCGCCTTATCCTTTCACTACATGACACACTATCAGAGTCATCATTGTATGGTCTTGGTTAAAGAAGAATATGATTTAGGTCTATTAGATATAGCTATGATACATGTCTCATGAACATACATTATGATGATCATCGTAATCAATGTCATAAAGGAGGTGATTGTGACACTTGCAATATTCTAGTCGTTGGCGTCAACTTTTGAACATCTACCATATCACTTAGTGTGTGGACATGTTTAGCTCAAGTTGTTTTCACTCAATTAAGTATTGAAACATATAAATGTTGACTAATCTGGCTAACGTGGAACTTGGTAAAATGAAATGGTTGAATAATTGAAAGATTAGATTATTCAGGAATACACATTGAATGCTGAGATTACGCATTGAATTTCTGGTAGTAGATCCAGAATTTAGCAATTCTCCTTTTAGGACATTTCACATGATTAATTCTACAAAATCAATTCATTAATCCTTTGGTTTAGAGCACTATGGTTTGTTCTTTGGTCTCAATCACTATGAATCTTAGCCAAAGTAGATCCAAGCCCTCTAAAATTCCAATGCTTGGCATGTTCATACAAGGGTTAATCATAGTCATTTCCTAACTTGAGGACTTCTAGATAATCTAGATAAATCAATTCTAGCCCCTGATCATCCCTAGGTTTTTACCCTAGTCATCTTTACAAAATCATAATATGACCCTAAGTATATGCTAACCATGGCTGACCTTAGATTGATCATAAACCTAATTGAGGCAATATACCCTTTGGGGGTAACCCTAAAAGCCTCAATTATCTAATCAATTATATCTAATTACAAGTAAAACTTAACCGAACCTCAACCCTATCTCGACGCAATGGATTTGAGGTTTAATCCATCAAAATTTCTTTCAAATATTTCAATCATATTTAAGTCAAACTTAATTGACCATTTAACTAATCAATTTAAATCTCTGCCCTAGTTTTGACAAAAAGTCAAAACCTATCCAAATAGCTTGACCCAATAAGAATTTTGACCAAATTGAATCAATTAAATGCACAAACCTTTTCTAATCAACTCAAGTTAATATTAGATTAGCTTAAGTTAACCTTAAACCCTAGTTAGTCCAATGTGGTCTAATTGAGCTATAGGATCCAAATCCTTCAATTGGATAAACTAACCTTAGCTAATTCTATCATTTGATCCTAATAGGTTAATTATGTCTTGTTTGAGCATAATTGACCAATGGCTTAGTCCAAGTTTCCCTTGAATCCAAGCTAACCTATTTAGATCAATCCCTTGCCTAATTTAATCCAAATCAAACCATCCTAACCATATTCATGCTTACCTAAAACTTAGTTTCATTTAATCGCAGCAAACTAGACCAATCTCAACCTTAGCCAATCCTAATAAGGTTATTAAATCCAACGTTAGAAACTATATTATAGATAATGTAATAGTCCATATTTTGACTTAATCAAATAATATTTTAGGATTCATTATAAGTCCAATTTATAAATTTCTTTCACCATAATATAGATGTTATTGTGCTTTAATCATAATAATTTTTTCATAATTTTATAGTTATCATAGAAAATTGATACATGTCGTCATAAGTGAGTTTTTTGGGATCGTTAGCTGTCAGTTTTGCAAATCGATTTCACCACAATTGTCTAGATATGTTAGGCTATTTCATGTATATTTTTATGTAATTTTTAGATCCCTTGATTTAAAGATATAAAAGAATTTATAGGAATTTCATGTTAACAATTTGAATAATTGGCTTAATTTCCAATGCGTCCTTAAAATTTTTTATTATAAAATCATAATTCATTACCTATAATCTAAATAACCATTTCATTTTTGTATTTTCCCAAACCAAAGAAGAAAAGAGAGGAGAGAAGAGAGCTGAGAGATAACCTAGGGTTTGGAGGATTTATAGCCTTTTTACTGATAGGCCTAGTTGAAAAATTTGCTCGTCTCAAGGTAGGATACCATTATCCTACCTCTGATTTTAGTAATTTTGTATATTTAATATTTTATGAATTTTAGTTTGATTAAAACTTACAAAATTGAGATATTTTATTTTTAGCAAACTTTCATCGTGTAACTTTACGCACGTTACAATTTTAATCATTATATACATATTGACAATAATATATTAAATTTTTGTCGAGTATTTTTATATTTTGGGGAAAATTTTATAATTTAAAATTTTTAAAGAAATATAAAAATTGAATAAATAGTTGTTAAAATCGAATAATATCAATGTATGATATGCATACTTGTTACAATGGATACATACATGATAAAAAAGAGAACAATGTATTTATGAATTTTATTAATTTTGATTCACATACAAATTTTACATGCATTAATATGATATAATAAAATGAACGTTGAGCATAAAATCATAATTTTACATGCATTAATATGTATTCCTCCACTTCAACCATCCAACTTAAATTCTACTAATAATATCACCATTTATTTCACCATCGCTCTGAATAATAGACCCAAGATATCAAAAACGTGTAATTAAAGACTTGATCACCTAAAGTCACAATCCCTCTACTAGATCTATTATTACTATAAGGCATATGTTCAGTTTTAGATATACTCAAATGAATGCCTTTGGACTCTAAGGTTGACATTCATAATACAAGTTTAACTTCAACTCCCTCTCTAGTCTTATCAACAAGAAGAATATTGTCAGCAAAAGCATAACTAGGGTATAACCTTTTGCAATTGTTTAATGAGAAGATCCATGACTAAAGCAAAAAAGATATGAGCTTAAGATTGATCCTTAATGTAATCCAACTAAAATAAGTAAATACTTGGTCAAACTACCTTGTGTTTGAACACAAGTAACAGCTCCATACATATCCCTAATGGCTTGAATATAAACATTATTAACCCCTTTCTTTTCTAAAATTCTTCATAGCACTTCTCTTGGAACTTTATCATATGTTTTCTTTAAATCAATAAATATCATATGTAGATCCTCCTTATTCTCTCTATACTTCTTTATCAAACCTTTCAATAAATGTATAGCTTCCATAGTAGACCTACCCGACATGAATCCAAATTGATTTTGAGAAACATTAGTATCATGTCGCAACATATGCTCCATAACTCTCTCCCATAGTTCTAAAGTATGACACATTAACTTAATTTTTCTATAATTTACACAATCTTGTGCATCACCTTTATTCTTAATAATAGGAATCGACACACTCATTCTCCATTCATCTAGCATCTTTTAGCCTTCAAAATAATATTAAAAATTAAGCAAAGAAATTCCTTCATCTCCTAAGCATTTCCACACCTCTATTGGAATATCATTAGGTCCAACAAAATTTTATTGTGACAACAAACATTTAGGCAAACGAGAAAAGAACATAATAGATATGAAGCATAAAACCTTGCTCGAAAACTAACTCAAATCTTGTGCTACACATAAAAAATAATAATAACTTGAGAAGATTATAGTTAGGCATTCAAGCAAAATTGAGATGATCCAATAGGATTTTATATGAAATCAATACAAAGGTCTTAAAATATGATGATGATCTAGACCAAGAAAGCACACATAGAACATAGGCTAATTTAAGGCAACTATATTAAAGGGTCAAAGTATTTATACTAGACTAAATCTGAAAAGAAAAAAGAAAAATGCACCAAATAAGATGTTTAAATACATCTGCATGTTGGAAGCTAAGTGAAATCTAACCAAGAATATTTTGAAACAAGTTATTAGACCTAAATAAAATAACCAATAGCCACTCTATAAGCATATCACTAATACAAGAATTGACTCCCTTAGGGAGTGCAACACATATGGCTTTCATAATCATAAAGTTAGATAATAAAATCCATAGGGGAAGTCAATGTTCCTATCAAATAAATTTTGATGAAGATTTAGCCCAAACCTTGTTATCACCAAGTACATGACATAAAGAACTTAAGCACATATAATTCTAAATTAAGTTCCAAATAGACATTCAAATAAATAATAATCAATTTATTAATCATAATAAAAAGCATTAATGCCATTTTGGTATATGAGATTCACCCTTCGTATAGGGGCTTAATATTGAGAATCCCATTCATCATAATTCTTAGAATAGTAGCCATTAATAAGTATTGTGGGTTGTTGACAATCAAAGCCTACTAACTTGAGTCACTTTCATAGACCCTCTCAATCATAATGGAGCTTTTTCCTTCTTATGTAGGCTTAAATTTACCACCTATTTTATGGCATGCAAGGATAAGTTATTGCAATACTAGGACTAAATCTCTACCTCTAAAAGCCTTATGTTAGATTAAGGTATCATGGGCTTGAGGCATATAACATTATTATAGCTCAAGATTATGAGATTTTTATAAATTTGTCTCATCTAAAGATTGAAGTTCTTCCAACCTTAGATGGGTTTTCTCTCCCTAATGATATGATAACTAAGGGAAAACCTATAAAAAAAAAAGAGTTATGCTTA